AACACTTCGAGTGAGGGACGCAGTTCACACTGGTCTCGAGTCGGTTCTCGGCGAAAATACCAGATTTTCACCGCTCATTATCTCAGCGTAGGGGCATCGTAGGGACATGCGGTTTGTTTTATATGAACAAGGTAAGACAGCTAATCAATAATACTGCAAATGATCGTCAGAATAAAACGGGAAAAGTTTATTAATTCGACTAATACTGCAGCATGGTTTCAGCATTTTACCGTTGTACGCTCTCCTTCTTTATCTGCTCTTGATGTATGTATCTATCTATCTATAGCGGAGGGGCTGCCCCCCCACACACACACACATATGTGCCCCACCCACACACACACACCCCACCCTCACACACATGAACACGTACGTGTTGTCGCACTCGCAGTGGCTGATCGTGTGCAGACGATAGTTGAAGTAGTTGTAGCGCGACGACAGACTCCTGATCGTCGTCGGACAGTGGTCGTGTTGTCGGCAGCATCTGTCGGCGTGCTCCTCCCTTCCCAGGTCGTTGAAGTTGCGCGCCTGGTTACCGCGTCCGCACCAGTTCGTTCCCGGGTAGAGGACGGCTCGTCGGCGACGCACGTGGTTACTGCGCATGCGCGAGACGTCGTCGGCAGCAACGCCGTCCATCTTGTGCAGAGACAGACATTCTTTTTTTGCCGAGTCGAAATTGACGTTCGGCGTCGCGTCGTCGTCGTCGTCGGCGACCGTGGCGGCATTGGCGTTGTCGGCGTGCGTCGCGTCAAAGCGGCCCGTGAATTCGGCGACGTCGTCGGCCTCGCGCGACCACACGCAGTCGGCCAGCATGCCGTCGGCAGCGTATAGCATGCGCAGTAGCTCTCCGCCGCGACTCAGCTGCCTGAGGTGAAACACGGATGAGTTCGTCGTCGGCTGAAGGACGTCGACGGCGCGATAGACGACCGTGTCGTCGCTACTGCCGACGGCGGGTCGTGCGGACGTCTTAGCGGACCGTAGTGTGCGTGTCTGGCCGCCTAGACCTCCCGTGAATAGGAGAGCGAGCAGGAGACAGCGGTGAAGCGTGAATGTCGACACGAGCATGCTTGTCGTATGATGTGGAGATGTCGAAGCGTCTTTCTTCTTAACAAAGGCGGTCGCGTCTCTCTCTCTCTCTCTCTCTCTCTTCCTTCCTTCCTTCCTTCCTCTCTCGCGTGACGAGTTTCCTTGCCGGTGTGTGCGAATGAGTAGTAGTAGTAGTACGTGCGTGTGTGTGCGGAGCTTCCGCTTCCGTCAGCTGGTCTCGGTTAGTGTCGGATGACAGAGTACAACGATGGGAGCGAGTCTTTCGGATGTTATGTGTGTGTGTCCGCGAACCCAGTTCCTAGCGACAGCGATAGCGCCCTCTGCACTATCCCCCTGGGGGTTTTACGCGGTGCTTATCTCACCAGTGGTGTCGTTAGACGCGAGTTTTGGGCAGGGGGATGTAGGAACGGGGTTCGGTGACACCACGCGAACCTTAACCCGGTCGGATGGAAGGCAGAGGCGGGTTAATGGGCGATCAGTGCGAGCGCGTGCACCCGCGGACCTTTTTGTTCCGACACTTAATCGTTCAGCTCGGACGATAACGACCGTGTGTGTGTGGTGGGGTGCGTGTGCGTGCGCGTGCGTCCGTGTGCGTGTGTGTGTGTGTGTGTGTGTGTGTGTGTGTGTGTGTGGTGGCGAGGTGGATTGCTTTTCTGGATACATTTGACATGAGAATCG